TTAGTCAGTGGAAAACGAAATAGTGTTAATTCTACTGGAAATAGTATCATAAAATAGATAATGAATGTCTCATCACATAAACTTCACATGAAACAGGATCCGCGTTGTCTGAATAGGAACTGGAGATAAAAATAAGATTTAACCTGGATCCAGGACTATCCTCTCGCGAGCTAACTTTATTAATACATGCTATTTTCATAATCCATGTATATCGAATTCGGCAACCTGAATAAGTCTGTTATCTTTGTCAATCCATTGACTTAATAATGCAGAATTTATTCTTACAGAAGAGCAGTGATCGCGTTATCCGATATGAGCTGAGATTCTTAACATTACTTTGATAAAGCTGTTGGCACTAAATGATGAAATTTTGGTAAATGCGGCCATTTCATGACAAATGCGGATATTTAATAATGGCGAGCATTATATATCCAGTACTTAAACCAATTAAATCTCAACATGGTTTGATAGAGCCAGCTGATGAGTGTTACATAAGAAGAAGCTCACGTCTTACACTTTACTGATTACTACAATCAACTATAAAATGTGCTCTTTTTTATTACCTCCTTGTCAGTGGTGATACAGTATTATAAGTTGAAATTATACCGATCAAATTATGATATATTTATCAATAAGAAATTATCTTTTTATAGTATAGGATCGAGGAAAAGGGGTCACGGTTATTGTTTTAAAAGTTGGAGAATAAAAATGTTTGATGTAATTACAGTCTTAATTTGACGAAGTTGCAGAAGAGCGTTACTCAATCAGTGGTGTTTAAAATAATGATAATTAAGAAAATTAAAAAGGAATGAATGAACTCATGAATGTGTCAACTATTTTTAATTAGTTGGAGGATTTCATCATGAGCTGACATCAGTTAGAGAACCATTGGAAAACCAACTAGGAGTACTGGAAAGCTGTTATGCCGGCCTAGTTTGGGACTGTTCATCAGTAGGCACCCATACTGCAGGGTTCGAACCCAGGACCTTCTGATTACAAAGCGAGCTAGCTCGTGGACCATTAAACCAGTGGGACCCGATCCAATGGCCCATGAATTCTAACTCATAATTACACAAATCAGTGAAAAATTTCAACAAAAACAAAAAAGTGTTCATAGGTTGGAAGACAGATTTGGAAGAGTCATTTAACCGTCTTAATATGTTACGTTTCCTCTAAAATGCAATCTGATAAATGGATTCCTTTAATTCGGGAGAGAGTTGTCCACTGCAGCCAACTGGTTCATAGGTTGTACATGACTCAGTGTCTTCTTTATTTAAAAATCTGTGTAGTTATAACATGAAACTACTCATAGGATATTTACTTGTTTGCACTTATGGTATCTATTCACCGTCTACATAGAAATGCAGATTGTTGTTAATGCACTGCTCAATTTCTGCATATCAAGTATGCTTATAAGCTCTCGAAAAATGATAGCCTAACTTATCAGTTAAATCCCGACAAACTGGACGTATGAATATTACTCTTCTGTTCATTCTGTCTAAATTTCAGATAGAATTCTAGTTCTGATGAAAATTTATGACTAGCTGTATTCATCCCTCAGGTTGGATTCGTGTACATTTACTCATTGGTGACATCAGATGGAGATGTCACTGTATTATCAAGCCAAGGGAACTTAGAATGTTCTATTCATTCAGTTGCAGTTAAGTGGATGAATGTCTGGTGCGTTTTTACTTCAGCCTGAACGTTCCAGGTGCTGTACTTGTTTTGACCGTGAGTATGTACTTTTGAGGAGTATTATATTAGGATGGTAATCTCGCCTAGTTAACTAGCTTACTAGTTTTAAAGCCGGTCCCAAGCCTGGGAAAAGAGGGAGTGTTGGGCGTGGGGCAAGCAACCGTACACCACAAAAGCTATCAAACTGTCAGGGAAACTTCAACACACAAAAACTTGGCGTGTCACGTAAAGGATTTCCAACAATTTGCAGACTTTTATCAATAGCTGCCTTCGCTGGCTCCATACAGAAGATCAAATGACCAGAAAGAATTAGCAACAATAAACTCTGCAGTGGAACAAACCAACCAAGAGCTGATCGCTCTACAAATATGTAGGAGAAAATGGAGGTAGATCGGGCATATGTTAAAGAGACTGTCAAATGACATTGCGTACCAGGTCCTCCAGTTTAATCACAGTGATAAGCGACGAGTGGGTCGTCCTAGGGTGACATGGGGGAGATGGGAGATTGTAGGTGATCGTGATCAAAGATGAAGAGGACAGCAGAAGAGAGGACAGAGTGGAACCCTATTTTCAACTTGAACCTCAAGGGAATAATAATATAATTTTACTATGGTACTCCTGTGTAATGGTTATTGGATTTATTAGTCTTATAATTAGTGTCAATTCACCAAAACATCTACGCTGAAATACTCGGGTATTAAGAGAACTTGGCTCACATTGGCTCCAAAGGGTCTCATACGTCATATTGTATCAGGGAATCAAGGAAACTGCATATCAAAGGTGGCCTGTTTGAAACGTGGGTTTCCAAAATACTCCATCAATATATTGCACATAATTTTAATTATTCACTTTGTCTTAATCTAATGAAATATGACATCTAACGATGCTTTCTACTCTAACAAGTACTTAAGATATCTACAGCATACTAATTCTCAAGTTTTATTAAACTTGAGAAAAAGCAGAATTGTGGATGGCAATGTATTCTAATACATGAGATAACTGTCCGTGAGATTTTGAGTACAAACTACTACTGCCCAGGATATAAAACTAATTAACTGCATTTTTCAATTATTCAGCTATTCAGAAACTGTACTGCTTCACATTTCTCGAATGAGGCAAAGGAGAAATGTCATAAGGGATTGATTTCGCTTCAGGTTAGAAAGCAGTGTGTCACTCAATTTACTGTCAGTCACTATTTTACTTGGAGATGCTGGACAAAGATAAACTACTATGAAGTAATTTTAGCTGAAAATTCTGTTCATTATAGAAACAATGTTCAAAATAAAGCTATTATCACCATATTATCATTAAAATGTATGCTTAAAATTATTATTATTGCTTCCTTTAGTTCCTAGAGAAATATAGAGCTTCAGCTGCACATCTCCATTGCGCTCGGTTCTCCACCAGTGTTTTCACCTGGCTCCACGTCTGCCCACATGCTTTTATCTCCTCTTCATATTACCTCCTCCATGTCACCCTTGGACGATCAACTTGTCGTTTCCCATTCGGGTTCCACTCAAGCGATGGCCTGTCTTGTGATGTCACTTGATGGTTTGTTTTCTCAGAGTATGGCCACAATCCACCTCCATTTCTTCCTGCATATTTGTTGCACGATTGGTTCCTGGTTGGTTCACTCCCAGAGATCTCTGTTGCTGATCTTTTCTGGCCATCTGATCTCGAATACTGAGCGAAGACAGCTGTTGATGAAGATCTGTAGTTTGTTTGAAGTGCTCTTCGTGACGCGCCAAGTCTCTGATCCATAAGTATGCTTAAAATACTTCCTCGAATTCCATAACATTCTTTATTTATCCCCAAACAGACTCATTGAATAAACACAATGCATGCAAATATCTGAAGTAAGATCTGTCTGCTGGTTACTCATGAAGCAAAACTCTTCGTGAATTTAACAGGTAAAGCTAATGGTATTAGAACAGAAGAAACTTTTAAAAGTTTCCAGACCGTAGATGTTATGAATTTACTGGAATAATTCCAGCACCAAGTCAAAATGAATCATTATTATTTAAAATAATCCCAGACTGTTTAAGAGAAAATCAAAAGATTTTTCTGAACGTTTCATTGCGTGAGCCACAGCTTCTTCAGCAGAATTATTTGATTTCAGAGGAACTCACTTCAATTCATGTAATTTTTGACGATATATTTTGACGTTTAATAAAATTCGAATAATTGTGCTGAAGAAGCTGTGGCTTACACAGCGAAACGTTCAGAAAACTCTTGCTTTGATTTCTTCTTAAACACGCTCGGATTATTTTAAATAATTTATTAAGAAGAAACTTTTGGTTAAGTAAAGAAGTATTTGCATCCGCTAATCAGTTAAACAGCAGTGTAGGTGACCGTTCATTTTGTTAAAGTTGTTACACGTAAATAAAAAAGTATGAAAATCATATCCGTCTATCTCAAATAGTGCCACTTTTTGTAAATATCGCCCATATCTGTCCATTATTTCCTGTCTTTATTTCTGATTGACAATTTTAGTGTCTAACTTATACGTCTGAGGTGTAAAATGATTAAAAAAGCAACCAAAACTGTCTGTTAAATCTGAAAAACTCTGATAGCCTACAATATCTCCCACACATAAAAAAAGAATCGGTGAAGGTATTTATAGTTATTAAACCCTTCTTCATGTGTTAGATTTCGTGGTCACTTAGTCAAATTCTTCAAATTACAGAATTCAAAGGAGATATTTGAAAGAAAGTATACTATCCGACTAACATTTGATACGTATTCCGAGATATGATAAAAGAAGTTTCCAGTTGCTTTGGCTAGTAATGCATGTCGTACAGCTACCACAATCTTGATACTACTTGTCAGTAATATATTGTGCATCAGGGACGCTGACTTTCTAAGAGAAAGCATGTTGAAACTGTGTCCTAGGCTGCATACTGAAAGCTATGTGGTCCTCCTAAAAATATAATTGTGGATGTCCCATCACTTTCGCTAAGGATATTCTTATGATGTAAGTCCTGTTTGGACATTTCATAGATGAATTTAGAGTATTTATGTAGAGTTTTATCCTGTCTTGTCATCATTGCTGCTAAATACACCTCCGTGCCCATTTTAATTAAAGTTTCGTTTAAAGACCAGGTTGACTGAGAGTTTTTATGCTATCAAGAACGAATACTAAACTTCTAGGGAAAATCAAACATTCTTTAAACTCAAAACCGACCCAAAAGTCTTGTTATTTATTTCAAATAGTATGGACTAATGAAAACATGAAGTCTTATCCCGTGTTTCGGGATAATTAGTCAAACTCAGTAATTAATATAATAAAAATTTTAATAGCTTACTCTGATTCCAAACCATTTAGAAATCATACGAGCTCTTGCTGAAGCATCTCCAGATGCGTTAGTGACAAATGCTACAGGTACACGTAGCTCTTTTTGTTCTGGATCACATAATAATTTAAATGCTTCCGCTGCTTGAGGTAATACTTCTAACCCACGACCAAGTACTCCGTCAATATCGAATAAGAAACCAAAGTTTGGCTGATCGAATGATAAAACAGTCAAGAATTATTGATGAATAACTTCTACAATGTGTTACACACAAGTATAATTAAATGAATGTATAAGCGCTCTAGATATTAGTAATTTGTTCTTAAAGTGTACTGAAAAAAGAAAGCAGAACAGCATTTCAGACATATATTTCAAAATATATCCTTCTACCGAGTTTACTCATGAATTTTTCAGACCATTCATGTGCTGCTACTTACCTGTCGTTCACAGAATGACAAGTATCTTAGGTGCTCATAGTAAGCTTTACCAGGAACCAGCTCCAAATTGGGTCCCCTCGAAAACCACAAATCCTCGAACAACAATCTTATCCCAGTTAGAAATCTGACTCTAATTGTACCTCAGCTATCAGATAAAAGATTGAGGCCAAAACTGTCGAATTACTAATTAAAAAACCCTTCCATTAAGGGGATATTCCACGACGTGTGCTTTATACTTCGAGTATTTCGTAATGTGACGTCATCAGTATATAATTGTTTAATAATTCCTCGGATCGCTTTAGATCAGGCTAAGCCTCATCAGTTGTTGTACTGAGGAAGTTGCAAAAAAAATGCTCCTCAGTAAAGTCATACATATGTGTTTATGACTATGCAAGCATATATAGTTCACTTTTGCACACTTTATTTATCCAATTCAACCTTACACCACTAAGAATCCAGCTTCCGGTAGAACACTCCAGGTAATTCTTGTTGTCTCTGTTCCATTGGTTAAACTTGTTAGAGAGTTGAGCAAGACTCAAAGATAACAAGCTCAACATATGAATGCAACATAGTTTGTCCTGACTAATTCAAAGTAACAGCTGAGTCACTTTTAACATAAAAACCACTTTATAATACTATAAACTTCATAAATTGTAAGTTACGTTTATCATATCATGGCTACAGATACGACTCTATTTCTCTTTTTCTCCCTGAGTATCATAAAAAGCCAAGTACTGTATGAGATACACGAATTTATATGATATGCATATAAAGTGGCTTAGAATTTCATCACCTATATTTATTTATCTTATAGGACTGACAGGAATACTTCCAGACAGAGTAATTACTTATCGTTCGAATGAAATAACACAATTCTGGGGAAATCTTTCTAAACAGATATAAGACGGTGTACAAAACGTTGATCCCCTTTCTCCACTCTATTCTACATTCCGTTAACGAAGCAAGGGTTAATAAATGTATTGTAGTAGCCGGTGATTTAAATTTTCATTATTGTTGTATTACTACTAATATGACTGTAACCAGTATCTTCATGACTATTGTTAACAGAAAATAATATTACTTCGATAGAAACAAAATTTCCAATGTATACATTTTAAACTATAGCACCTCACACTAATAACTAAGTGAAAGATATCATAAAGATGTAACATGATGAAATTTTCATTAACATATTAGGCGTTGCATAGGCCGTACAATTAGGCGTGTTTCTCGTCGAATTTCCGAACATCACCCTGCCTGGTTAAGCAAAGGTCAAACAAAATCTATTCGCAGTGCTATTCTGGCTCATCTTGTGGAGACAGAACACAAGATTGACGTTAATCATGCTTTCAGGGTCATTTACCGCATACGAGCGAATCTCACTTTCGCTTTAAGAGTTCGACTTCTATATATTGCTGAGGCTGTGGGGATTCATATTAATAGGCCTAATTTATGCACCCAAAAGAAGTTAGTTCAGTCATTATCATTACCTTGGCCGTCCAGGTTTAAAAAATCCGGAATTTTTGTAGAATTTCCCTAATTTTAGTTGATATTCTATTCGCTGTTATATCTTTATTATTATTATTATAATTTAAGCATCTTTAATGAACTGCAATATCATTCACCATACTTTACAAATCGATATTATTTAGAAAAACGCTAATATTGTTATTAACTACTAATTTAAAATATTCTGTGTATATAAACATATATATAATTGTAGAGCCTGGAAGAGGAATTTATCGAAAAGAATATTCTTTGCTCGATTATTTTGTGTTTTATAGATGTTTGAATGAATATTTTTGCAATACTACTGATTAGTTGATATGGTTATCTCGACATCACTCACAATAGTCAGTAGTGCTTGCTAACTTTGCCGAAGTGACCAAAATACTAGGCGGCCGTTTTATTTGTTTGAGGACAGGCTCATTGGCGGTGCCTTCAAACTATGTAAACTACAAATTGTGAATTTGATGTTAGACGCTCCTTTTAACTATGTAGTCAATGATTCAATCATTGAATTCAATTTTAGATTTTCTCGTCGATTGATTGGACCAAAGTGCTCCGTTTCAGGATGACATGTCGGCTTCTTGTTCAGATGCTTCGACGATGTCTAGGCATGTAGTTAGAAGTTAATTGGTGTTGCAGGTACATCCAGCTGACGAGTCCCCAAAAGGACCAAATGCGCATCGCGGATTCCACTGCTAGTCACCATCCACCAATTAATGATTCAGTCAGTTAGCGGAAATATTACTGAAATGCAGTAGTCCTTCTAGTTAAGTGCAAAATAATTATCCGTAAGAATAAAATCAGTTGAACATTTAACGTGTGCCTAAGTCATTCCTGAATGAGAATAATCGTCACCTAAGTAGCTTAAAAGAGACCTCTTGAAACGTGTGAATTCCCCGCCATCAGTTTTATTGGACCGAAACGATTAGTTGCTAGCATGGTCGCCTCGATAATGTCGAAATGATGCCAACTTAGTGTTTTCTTGATAGCAGCTAGTTTGGACTTACTGTACAAACGATAATGATTTTTGTTTAATCATCATCCAGCAAATAACTCTTCGAAATCTGAAACGGTATGGGCTAAATTAGAGTCTCAGTTACAAAATCACCACTCACTGACTAATATGCATGTACATCCAACCGATGAGTTCCGAACAGGAATGAAAAATCGCATATCGTGAATTTTACTGCCAACCATAACTTATCAAATAAAAGTTACTCCGTCCTACTTCAGTAAGGAGGAATGAATCATTCAACTGCCTAAAGCATATGAGTTGTTGTGGAATTCTAAACACTCCCAGATGTTACGAGTATGTAGATAAAACAATTTCGTCAAACGGTATTCAACAATTCTTTTAGTGATCAAGAAAATAATAACTTTTACAGTAAAACGCTTGCATGAAATCAGTAACAAAGAAAGCTTACCTCCTGTTGAACTACTTCTGACTTTTCAGAGAAGTCCAATAAATTACCATAACTATCACACGTTAATAATTCATCCTTTGCTTTATTTACTATTTCAGTCATATTCATTGAGTATGATTTCGTCTTATTAATTTCAATGTTCCAATATGATTTCAATGTTTCAATAGTGACAAAACAAATGTAACCTGTTTAATTTAGAAGAAAATAGTGTTTTTGAAATGGAGACAAGTAAGACAGTGTAAAAAGAATTTATGTTAGTATAAATTATTGTCATTCAAGTTATTTTGTCACAAGTTACTTACACTCTAACAGGATATAATGGTAATAGTAATGAAATTAACAAGAAGAGTAATGTTCCTGTGAAATAATGAACTTTCCAATAAATAAAAATGAATGACAATGCAATATATATATGCTGTCATGTGCATTATCGTTATTGGTCACTAAATGAACTAACGATGGAACACAGAATGTCTCATTTTTGTTCGTGTGTGCAAACTCGATTGCTCTCTCTCTTTCTCTGGCACACATTTTGTCGTTGTGTCCCTCTTCACTTTCATTGTCCTAACTTTTTTTATCAGTAATGTCCTTTATTGTTATAATCTGTCAGTTAACTTTGAAATAATAAATTCATTCATATGTCTTATCCATCTCAATTAAATAAAAATTGTTAAAATAAAATCTTAGTTATATTCGGTAGTGATGGCATTTTGGTTTTTCAGAATTTACTTCATCAATCCATATGAGTGTTAATCATATTCGATCATGTTGTCTTGACAAATCAGTTGGGTATTAAGTTAGTTAGTAATGTCAGATAATCAAAGTTTAAACTATATTTTTTTGACTTAAAATTGGCTGTACAAGGGAGATGATTGACAGTGAAATGAAAATGATAGAATCCGGACACCAAGCTACACCGCAAACAAACTTCAAAGTCGTCTACAGAGTAAGAAGTAGTCTCCCTAAAGGTGTACGAATCAGACGTCTTCAAACTGCAGAAGCAATGGCGATTCACTTACTAAGTCCTGAACTCTGCATACAGAAGAAGTTCGTTCAATCACTACACTTACAATGGACATAATCTATCTTATTAGCCGACAAGTAAATTCTACCCAATCTTTTCTTCTGTCTCTTCATTAGTATTATTTTGCCTTCTCAATTGTAATATTTTACATTTTCAACTTTCTTGTTCTCTACCCCCACCCGATTCAATTTCTACACCTCACTCCCACTGTTACTGACTTGGACATCGCTCAGTTTCTAGTCATTTATGTTACGTCATCCAACTTATTTACTCAATTTCACTTCTACTTAATCTCTACCTGTAATTACCTCTGTTGCTATCCTGACCTAAGTTGTAACATTTTAGTCAGTTATATGACGTCATCTAGCTTACTAACTCAATCTTACTTTAGTTGTTGTCTGATTAACTTTGTCTCTATACCAAATCATTCTTGTATTAACTAATCGATTATCTAAACTTGACAAACCTCATGTACACACAAACAAATAATTATATATAAATGCGATTGTACAGCTATGTGAATGAATTCGCCGAGAAGAGTCTCTTCGCTGAATGTCTTCTCTTTTTCAAATGAAAATTTGGTTCACGGTTGGATTAAAACCGTCGACTTTTGATATGCTCATAGCAACCTGGTTAACAGATCCGTCCAGGTGGTAGACCGTCGGACTGATTATTCGCAAACCCCTTTTCCGAATCCTACAACTGTCTAGATTTCCATTTCATTCATTATATTAGCAGCAATTCGCCAACCAAGAGATATCTAAGATAGTTCTACCGTCAATCAGACTTTGTTCTTGAAATGGTGTGAAATGTAATTGGTACAAAAGAGTAATTTAAACACCGTGAATATAGGATTGAAGTCTGAGAAGAAGTATGTTAAAGATTACCTGTTTCCAGGTTGAACACAACTAGATTCATTATTGTGTTTAAAGTGAACTTCTGTTATATGAAGTTTGTACAGTTAATAGATAGATATTTCAGCTTACCTGTTATAGTACTCAGCTTGTGTAGTCAGTTTCTCGGAGGATGGACATACGTCATGCAGATGAGTGCTAATGAGTGCGAAGTCTAGCTCCAGGACTTCTTGTCGATTGCCTCCAGCCGTTTATCAACAAACATTATTTCAGTGAAAAAAGCTTTAGCTTCGACAGATAACTAAATGAATTATTTACGATTAGATGGGATATTATCTGGGAATTCTCTTTAAAACTAAAATGTATACTAAGTGATATGTACTGTACTTTGTCAGTTATGATGAAACTAAATCACACAGTCTTTTACCAAATGAAAGCATTTGTTTATGCGCAGGAGAATAATCAACGTTTTAACTAATAAAGGATTATATAAAATTTTGTGTCGTTATACTTTAATGACTGGTTGTTGAATAATGTTTTATGATATTTAAAGCAATTAATTTCTTGTATGAATTTCGACAACACAATAAGAAGGCGTAGTTTATCTGAAATGTGTAATGTATTTGCGCAACACATTTCGGACATTCTGATCACACACGTACTCGTCATATACAGTTTTTATAGAAGGCAAGAAGGCATGAATACTTACAGTACAGGTCAAGGTCACAATTAGTGGAGAGAAAACCAGAACTATGCTGTCCTGTAAACCCTCACATTATCTGAACGATAGTGTCCCATCCCACTGTGTTTATCAATTTACATGTATTTGTGGAGACACGTACATACGGAGGACCCATCGGTCTCTGCAGGTTAGGCCTACAGAAAATATCCTGAAGTGTCTGCAACAACAAATAAAATCGCCGGATACAACTAATCCCGGAAATAGATGTCCAACATCATCTATAACGAAGCACATTATAGAGACGAGTCATAAGGTTGATTTCAACAATGCCTTTAAGCCGATATATAAAACAAGGTTGGGTCACATACTTAAATTCGTTGAAGCTTTAGCCAAGTAAAGACTTAAACCTGCCTTATATGTCCAAAATTTATTTGTTATTACTTTAAGCCTGCCTTGGTAATACAATTTGGAACCAAGGACCAAATTACTTCATAATGTTTTCAACCCCTTCTTTGCCTTGTTTTTTTCTCTTTTTCTCTTTCTTACCCACACGTTTGCGTCTCTCTACCCATTATTTGTGAAATCGACCTGCACACAATCTTACCTGTACTGTAATTATTCATGCCTTCTATAAAAACTGTGTATGACGAGTACGTGTGTGATCAGAATGTCCGAAATGTGCTGCGCAAATACATTACACGTTTCAGATAAACTATGTCTTTTTATGGTATTCTTTTTATGTATGACTTGAATTCGTTATTACACTTTCACCAACTTTTATGTGAAGTAATTGCAGCTAGTAAATACTGAACATAATTTGTGTGATACTGCGTAGTCTTTGGATGCTCACCAAGTTCTATCGCCAAGTGGTTTAAAAAATCATCAAAATAATTAAATAGTCCTGGCAGTGTTAAGTACTTGCCGCTAGCGTGTTCGGCACGATGAATCCGTAGTCGAAGTGAAATTGAACATCTTGATATCTTTAACTGCAACAATTAGAATGTCAGGCTTGAGACTTTATATCAGCATTAGTTCTTTTGGGTTTGTAGGTAAACCTTCCTGACAGGTGTTAGCAAGTACTACATTCTTCCAATGAAAGGTTGCAGTCCTATTGTATTTTTAATTTGATACACTTTAGTAAGGATTCCCCATTATCACAGCCCTTAAAAATAAATTAAAGTAGATGGACAGAGAGTAGGTAGAAACATCTTAATAATTCAGAAGAACTAAAAACGTAATAGAGATACTACCACTGCAATATGTACCGTTAAAGAACACTGTCTATAATTTATGTATGACAGTTGTTAATACTGATAAAGACTGACCAGCTGACTTATCAGCTTAGAAATCTGCACAATGTACGTTGGGCTCACCAGCTGTAAAGTAGTTGTAGTGCTATTAATTAGCTACTTTATGGCAGCTTTACCAAAGGCAGTAAGTATACTGAATTAACGAATTATTCAGTAGTCCACCTGATTTGTAAGTACTGATAAGAAAAGACAAGCCAAAAAGGTTCAGTTATTTAGTAATGTGCTCTTATGAGCAGTATATTTGAATACAGTATAAAGTTACGGTTATTTAAGGCAAAGATTTTAGAACTTGTATCACTGGACAGCGGACTGTAAGTCCATGCGTGTTGACTGTACAAGGAAGGAGCGCATAATGGCGTCCAAGCCTGTCTGGATATGTGTTCATAAAGTCAAGTAATATGTGTCGAATCCATTTACCTGTTGAAAGCAGTGAGTTAATTGTTTAAGTTAATTTGTATTTCTCGTTGACTGACTACATTGAACCAAAATGCTCTGGGTCACTACGGTCCATTGGCCAATAGATAAACGGGAAAAAGGCAACCGACGTAAATAAATAATTACTGATACCTTTTGGACAAGGGGTGGTTGTTGTAGGCTGAGTGGTATAGTAGATAGTGTCTTGACGCTTGAAACAATGGCTACTAGGTTTCAGTATCAGTGGTAACACGATCACCAACTGTGGAATGCAATTATATCCACCTGACAAATCTCGAAAAGGGCGTACTACTCATCCTGCGTAAATGAATATTTGTTCGCAAAGTCCCTTATAAACGATCTGATCACAATATTCATACTTATTTGGATGTTTCAATTAACTTTTTAATTGTTATGCATTCTTCTTCTAGACTGTTCTGATATTTGAATATCATACGCTGACTTGATCCCTATTTATTTGTCTTTTTCCCAGTCTAAACTCTAAATTTGACGCTTCACTTTGTATTTGTGCAATACACTGATAGTATGTTGTTTTACGACAGAGATTCTGTTTGAGTGACCCAAGGTCATTCTATCCCTGAATTGCCTGCGGAAATTGTTGGTGTGTGATTCACGGCGACAGACTTTTGATCCCACCTTGTTCTGAATATTCTTCTTACGGTTGACATGGCTTAAATAATTCTCTTGTATAGTACTTGTTTTGTACTCAAGAAACTGTTGGATCTGTACTACCGCCTAATGGCATTGTTGAAGTAATTTCGCACTTTATATGTTATGAGTATTGAATAGTACCACGACTTTTATCACAAATAACTGTTTTTTTAATTATCGTTAAGATATTTTCGAACTGTGAGTAACCCAAGGAAGTTTTGGTTAGCTATACACTAGAACGCACAGATTGGTTTCCTGAGTTCAGACCACAACACATCGGCTTTCGTCGATACATCTTGGATTCTAACGCTAATTAGCATCCATGGGAAACAGCATGAAGTTATACTATTGCAAAGTCCTCAAAGTGGGACCAAGCAAACGTTTAGTATTCAGAGGCTTTCGTTGGTTGTCTAGTTG